AAAAATTTAAAATTCCTTAAATACCCCATCTTCATCTTCCATCCCCTCTCGTCTCTCTCTATCCTCAGATGTCTCCTCATCTTGCAACCCAATCAACACCGATCATCCCTCATCACTCTGGTCATCCCTCCTTGCTCCGATCATTTATTACTACTCTAATCACCATTTACTTCTTTCCCAAACCTCCTCTCTAATAGAACTCAAATATGATTCCTCGCATAATAATAATGACCAATATATCTGATTCAAAAAATCAATTCCTCTGCAAATGTATACCAGATCTGTAAAGAAAAATGTAAAAAACACAACATCCCTTCGATCAACACCAATAGTAACTAGATCTAAAAATTCAAGCAATCATAAGCCACATAAAACTCTAAATCCCATTCCAAGATAGCCAAGCAAGCATGACTGCAAGCCAACAAAGAAACAAAACAAAAAAACCCACTGCAAATGTATACCAGATCTATAAAGAAAAATGTAAAAAACACAACATCCCTTCGATCAACACCAATAGTAACTAGATCTAAAAATTCAAGCAATCAGAAGCCACATAAAACTCTAAATCCCATTCCAAGATAGCCAAGCACGACTGCAAGCCAACAAAGAAACAAAACAAAAAACCCAAGCGGGTTCGACTCAAACCCAGGCACTTGGTTCGAAGGAACCCAGGCCTGGGTTCCTCGAACCTAGCACGCTTGGGTTCAATGGAACCCAGGTGTCCTGGGTTCCATCAAACCAAGGGCCTGGGTTGGACGAACCCACGCCTGGGTTCCTCGAACCAAGGCCCTGGGTTCCTCGAACCCGTGCCTGGGTTCCATCGAACCCAGGTAGCATGCCTGGGTTCGAAGGAAGTTGGGTTCGATGGAACTCAGGTGCTCGTGGAACCCAGGCGCTGGTGCTAGGTTCCTTCGAACCTAGTAGGGAGGGGAAGGAGAAAAGGAAAGAGAAGGAGGAAAAAAAAAGGAAAGGAAAGAAAAAAAGAAAGAAAAGAAATTTTTATTTATTAAATTATATTTTTGATGCCAAATCACAATATTTTTATAATTAAAAATGCCATGTCACTTGTTTTTATTCTTAGGTAATATTTAATATTAATAAAAATTGAATTTGTTAACAGTAAATTTTGCCATGTCAGCACTTAACTGACGGAAGGACAAAATTGGTTCCAAAAATTGAAGTTTAAGGATTTTTTTAGTATTTTTTGAAGTTCGAGGGTAAATTTAGTCCAAAAATGAA